GTGAGTCAATGATTCAGTGACTCATTCATAAAGAGTCACTTGCTTAGTTTCTGAATGAATCAGCCATTTGAACAAATTGGTTGAGTGAATGATTCAGTGACTCACTTATTAAGACAGTGACTTGCCGCCACTTACCTGAGCTTGTAGTTTCATATTAAGCGTATCTTTTCATTTTCAAAAATAATTTATATTTTAATATTCAAAAAGCTTATTTTTTGTAATGTCTAGTCATCGCGATTCTCATATAACACAGTAATGACTTAAATGATCTTTTGGGGGTAGTGTCTCAGCCAGAACTGATGTGCAATTAATCAGATTAAAAAATAATTTTAATTGTAATTTAATGTTGTTTTCCCCCAGGAGAGGACAGGAGTAAAGATGATCATGATTCAGGACGACCCGATGCCCACTGGATCAGACAAGCCCTTGAGAATCACTGGAGACCCTTATAAAGTTCAGGTGTGTGTTTTTATCAGCGATGCAGTCTCAGATCCGCAGTGGTGTCATGTGACGTCTGACTCTGAGTGTGTGTTCTGCAGCAAGCGCGGGAGCTGGTGCTGGAGATCATCAGGGAAAAGGATCAGGGAGATTTCCGGAGCGGCCGCAGCGACTTCGGCTCCAGACTGGGCAGCAGCATCGACGTAAGAACACCTTCAGCTTCTTTTAGAGCTGCGATGAAGCCAGAAAGCCCTGGTGTGTTGATTGTTGGTTTGCTCACACAGGTGGCAGTGCCCAGATTCGCCGTGGGAATCGTTATTGGCAGAAACGGGGATATGATCAAGAAGATCCAGAACGATGCAGGAGTCAGGATCCAGTTTAAGCCAGGTCAGTTTACATAACATTCCTGCTTCTTGAAGAAAAACTCTGCTGGTTTGTAGCAAAACGGCCTAATTACCTTTTTGTTTTTTCCACAAATTATGAAGATTTTTCAGACAACACTACCAGTCAAAGGTTTTTGAACAGTAAGATTTTTAATGTTTTTTAAAGAAGTCTCTTCTGCTCACCAAGCCTGCATTTATTTGATCAGAAATACAGAAAAAGCAGTAATATTGTGAAATATTTTTACTATTTAAAATAACTGCTTTCTATTTGAATATATAGTAAACTGTAATTTATTTCTGTGATGTGCAGCTGTATTTTCAGCATCAGTACTCCAGTCTTCAGTGTCACATGATCTTCAGAAATCATTCTAATATGCTGATTTGCTGCTAATTTTTTATTATTATTATTATTATCAATATTTAAAACAGTTGAGTAAATTTTTTCAGGATTCTTTGATGAATAGAAAGATCCAAAGATCAGCGTTTATCAGAAATAAAAAGCTTTTGTAACATTATACACTCTAGCATTCAAAAGCTTGGAATCAGTATAATTTTTTGGGGGGGAAATAAATTATAGAAATTAATGGTTTTATTTAGCAAGGATGCTTTAAATTGATCAAAAGTGATGATAAAGACATTTATAAAGTTACAAAAGAGCGGCTGCATGTTTAGCACTATTAGACTGCTGTCACTTTAAGACCTACGTCTAATATACAGGCGCGCATCCGTTTCTCTCAACTACTTCCACTTTAGACTTAACCAACTGAGTTTATATGTAAACCTTGTGTGTTTTTGACAGTATTAGTGCAATCAGAGGCGAAAGATAACTCAGTCCAGTAATCAGCCGCTGTTTGACAGGTTTTTTAGCCAAGTTAACCCTCTAAAGCCTGACATGAAATAATAGTATAGTCTCAGTATTT